AAGAAGGGAGAAGAAGGGAGAAGAAGGGAGAAGAAGGGAGAAGGGAGGAGAAGGGAGAAGGGAGGAGAAGGGAGAAGGGAGAAGAAGGGAGAAGAAGGGAGAAGAAGGGAGAAGGGAGAAGGGAGAAGGGAGAAGAGAGAAGAGAGAAGAGAAGAGAGAAAGAATGTAAGGCCAAAACAAAAAAAAATCTCCAATAAATACAAGTGTGTTACAGAGAAACAGTAAAGCACTGAACATGACTGCTGTGTGAATGTTACTGCAGTGACAAGTAGCCTACAAAAATACCAATGAAAATACGGTGTTCTGAGAATACAGCTTGTGCTTGGAGTACTAACATGTAACAGTGGCATGCTTTACTCAGATAGAGCCAGGCCTTTTACTTAAGATTTTCTTGCATCTGCTCTGATCGAATAGACCTCTATACTGTGTGCCGTACACCATGTAAATGAGAACACCATCTGGAAATCTCCCCCATAGTCTTTGATGTTTAGTAACTGCAGACTTCTATGGTGTTTGCCAAATATTGATAGACCCACCAGAGCATCAACTCAACTGTTTAAAAAAAAAATAGGGCTTAGTAATCTGGGAAAATGGACTAAGTTAAAAGGAAAGAGAAGGCCTCGTTATTGAGTTCATATCATTTCGTGATCCTTTAGAAAGCACACGTAGTAGTAGTAGCAGTCATAGTAGGAATAGATGAAGAATAAGGAAACAAGTCTTAGAATCCCTGAAACTTTCAGGATAGTAAATGATTTTAGTTAACCATAGCTTTTAGTTACCACATTAGAAGAGGCATCACTTAAAAACCATTTTACAGAAAGTTATAAACAAGTCAGCCATGTCTAGAACCTGGCAGTGAAGCGTTTCAAATAAGTTGTATGTTCATGTTACCTGAAAAACAAACAATGACTTCAGAGTACACATACAGGGTCTAACTTGCGTCTGACTTCTGTCAAATGTGTCAAGTAGCTGAAAGATTAAATGTCCGCACACAGACCAGGTTTTCTGGCCCCCTGCAGAGCTCACCCTCTCAGAGGTCCCTCACACTCTAAATCCAATCTGAGGCTTTTTTCCTTTCTTCATCTCTTAATCCTTCAAGACTCTCGCACAACTAGACAGCAGAAGGGCACTGTTTCACTCAAAGGGTAGTAAACAAAGTGACCCTTCTTCGTCCTTCCCTATAGCTTCCTGAGTAATCTAAGTCTGCTGTGCAGAAATGCTAGTAGGAGGGGCTTGTATCAGCAGCTCTGTGCCAACACTGCTGAAGGAGCTGCAGGAGTGATTCGCTGACTCAGCAGAAACAAATCAGGAAAAACAAATGCATCTTGTCTTCTGAAATGACCTGCTCTAATGTTCCCAGACAACTTGTGTGGTTTGGGTCCCCTTGTCTCAGAATTGTAACTAAAACTAAACCAAGCTGAATTATGTAACAACAGGACTCATTAATGAGTTTAAGAGCACTGAAATAGGAGAACATAAAAGGTTATGTTTATCTAGTGTCTAGAATACTACTTGACACTTAACAGGTAATCCACAAAATGTGAATTAATTCAACAGTTTTCTGTAACTACATACTATTTTTTCTTCCATGGAAAGGAAATATTACAAACCAGAAAAGCAAGTGAGAGGTAGCAAGCACAAAGAAACTTCAACCTAAAGGGAATTCAAGTGCTCAGTAGAGAAGATTAACAAGGAGGCTCTGTGCCCTAGAGGACCAAGCAATTACACACCCAGGAAAACAAGTAAGATAACCCTAACACTGGAGGATCTGTACCATTAAGACAATTTACCTCCACACCCTGCAACACTCATCCTACACACAGACAAGGCGCCTCCAGCCCTCTAGATTTAATGTTACTGCAAATAATCTGACAAGTCAATCTTTTAAAAAACGTTTCCTCATATTTAAAATATTTTAGAAAATATTTTGGAAAATTTTAAAGACATACATATACAAGAGGAAAATTTATATTTTATTAGTTATTATTCTAAATCAAATAAATGAAACAGAAGCTAGGCACATGCCTCTAACTCCAGTATGAGAGAAGCCAAGACATAATTGTCAAGTCAAGGCTTGCTAAGACTACGTAGTAACAAGAAGACCCTGTTTTAA